TTTATAACGTAACCGTCTAAATGCGAAGTAGGTCAAATTTCAAAAATACGCCCGCTGTTCCTATTTTATAGCGGGTAGATGCCTCCAAATTCAAAATCCTAACTTCCTCTACTCGAAAATATGTCAGAAAAATAAACAAAAGCAAAGAAACGTGTATTCCGACGAATGAAAGTCAAATTAAGAGCTACCGTGTGTTGACTTCCGAATGACATGAAAGGTCAAAAGGTTGCTCATATTGCTCATGTGACCTGTTTTGAAAATATTGTCAGAATTCGCCGATTAATTTTTTCGCCCGACGTGTAGTTGAAATGATTGTTCTTCCCCAGAGTATAGTCTCGTTGGGTGAAGCCATGTACCAGAGTGCTTTTTTGATCCTTAAATTTCGTCTAACTACAAAGTTGGTGAGCTCTGTCGCGAAGCATACATTTAAAAAATTCGTCAAAAATTCACGTTAAACTTTCATTTAAATTTTACACCGCGAATAGATCCGAATAAGCTGCGGAAATAAGGTCTTTTGATTTCCTGGGTTAATCTTTTCTAGAACGCTTTCACTTTTTAAACGGGAGTTTCCGAAAAATGCCCGATTTCGGCGTCAATTTAGGCCGTCGCAATCGCAAAATACAAAAAAATTTGCAATAAAATAAATAAAAATCTAAACGACCTGAAACTCATATTTTTAGTTTGGGAAAATCGGTTTTTTCTATGTTGCATGACCTTAGTCGATCCTTACAGCAAACTGCTCTTATTGCCTCTCCGAAAATCATTAGCTTACCCTTTTTTGGTACCTAAAACGACAGTTTTAGCAATCCGAAAAGAACAGACATTAAATCTGTCGTATCACGAAAGTTCAAGGTGACAATTTTCGTAATAAAATCGGAGGGGATTAGAGGCCGTCCGAACAAATATTTTATCACCCTGTTGAATGTAAAAGCAACTGGAGGAATTTCTAATTTCAGCCTTAAATTACTTATACTTGTAAGTCGTTTTCTTCTTTGTCATCTTAGTTCTGTTTATAGTCTTGGCCCAAGACAAATCTCAGTACCAATAAACTAGCCAAATTACACCAAGGAAAATGATTTGCTCGATTTTTATTCTCTCGTTGAGGTTTATCAGAAAACTGACTAGCTCCCTGCGCTCATTTGTTCGTTTTCTGATATTACCCAACTCGTAAATAAAACAGTACGTGTGCGTTTCCCATGGAATAATTGTCCGTTCCATTACAGTCAAACTGCCTTTCAGACGTTCCGTTCACGCTCCCAGAGCTGAATTTTACGGTGGACTGAGCCAAACTGCAGTCGTGTTCTCTTTACAATCCAGCCGAAATACTTCCGGATTTTTTGTCTAACACCCTGTGCTACTCAAAAGTCCGAATTGTTAACAATTTCATAAAAAAAAAAAACAATTTCTCCATTTCCAACAGATTATTAAATATAAAATAAAAAAATTCCCAGTCTCCATCGCGTCTTTTCCTGGCTTTATGCAGTCTGCTGTTTTTCACCTGCCGAAGCAAGAACGTCTAGGGGGTAGAAAATCGACAATGGGTGGGAGAAAGGACTGATCTGCAATCGTTTTGTTAAAACTTTAGCTTTAAAATTGTGCAATGACTCGCAAGTACCAAACGGCCGTATACATTAATCATTCCATTACATTTATTTTGCTATTGTTTAGAGCCCTTTTAAATTTTCCCTGGAAAAAAGAAAGTACCTCTACAGTGCTACAGTTTAATGCATAACAATCTCTTATGAACTAAGAAAGCAATATAACACTGTTTTCTTTTAATTTTAACGTGCTCTCCGCTGATCAACTCTTCTCCCTCGTCGGAATGGACGTTAAGGCGATTTGTTGAATTCTTGCGCTTTATATGTTTGTGCTAATTTTACGCCGGCTTTGACTTGTGAAATAAGCATGACACAAGTGAAATAAGCATAATACAAGTGAAATAAGTATGAGCGCAAGTTCAAGAAAATGTTTCTTTCTCGTGCTATTGCTTGTGCTTACTTCATTCCAGCGCACTCTAGCGTTTTCTTGTGCTTATGCTTGTGTTAACGCTTTTACTTATCTCACAAGTGTGAGCCAGGCGTAAAGCTTCGTTTAAAATGAACTCATTTTCTGATGCGTCTGTCCTCAATAAAACCAGTAGCTCTTAGAGCCGGCCGACTCCTATTGTCACAGCTGCCAAGAAAGCTGGCACTCAAACTACAGAAGTGTTTTCGCTTATTTTTCAATAAGCAAAAAACAATAAAGCTTAGCATAAGTCAAGAGAAGACGAACGTCTGGTAAAATTACTTGGTAACCGTGTGTGCCGAATTCGCAAATTAGCTAATCAAAAGCCTTGTGCCTTGCTGTTCTGCGATATCAAGTGCGTTACTGGTCTGATATGGCCGGATTTTAACGTGGCTAAATTTGGATACGGTAAATACCTAATCATACCCTTTTTGTGAGCTTGATAGCATTCCAGTCTCTTTTGGTCTCGTCATGGGTTTTTTGGCTGGACTTCGTCTACTCAAAAGACGAACCATCATACTCGCCTGATATGCCGCCCTGAAAGCTAACGAAAAGGAACCTTGTACCCGCGCGATGGCGTCAGCTTAGTGTCTCTACCTCAGTTGACTACAAAAATACCCCAATGACGGTGCGAGAAATTTGGTGGTTATTTCAAAAATTAATTGTTGTGAAAACTTAGCGCCAATCCCAGCGGCACCTGCACTCTGAGCAAATGCACTTCCAGAAGCCACACAACCTCAGTAGATGGTGGACTGGGTCTTTGCTGCAATAGCTCCCATAGCAAATCCTGTGGAAATGAATGCTACTGCTGTGAGATAAATGGCTCTCTATGGCAGCCAGGAACACAGAGACATCCAAATAACCTAATAAAAACATAAGGTAAGCGAAGTTAATTTAAATTATTTCTTACACGCAGCATTTAGAGCAATTTTTGAAGCATTTTCATACATTGTCTTATAAACGGCTAAAATTGTAACGCAATAACCCACAGGATAATGTCACGTATTGATCGTATTTAAAGAGTCAGTATCTTGAACTAGAGGGGATTTTTAACGTAATGTGTCATTTTGTAGCTAAGGGAAAGCAAATGTGTCAAAACTGAGTTATTTTGAGGTCTGCTTGAGTTTTTTAAAAGTAACTTATAACTCGTGCCGCGTTTGCGGCCCGACGGGTCGCCGCCTGTGATAAATATCATTATCTTTCTTATATTTACACTACCACTTTCGAATTTATTTTTCAGTATGATTCGCCCAAATTTAAAACCTATCATAATTTGGCTCCCTTTTAGTAATCTCGCAAAATTTGTTTGCATTTGCATTCGGCTAGTGGAAGGAAGTGCGGGCTCATTTTCCGGACCAGCGGCTGGTGTAGCTCTGGCCGAGGAGCTCTGGGTACCGATTCTTTTTCTGGCGCTCGTTTAAACGGTTTCAAAAGTACAGCAGTATCACTTTTATTATACATTGCTTCTTCGGGTCTCTTCGTTTTTATCACATGTATTAAGGCCTTTGGTCTCTTTCCCTAGGACGTACTGAGCTAGTATATTTTTAACTAGTTTTTCGTTCATTCGCTTTTATTGCATGGGTTGCTGTTTTAAAACCTTGTGTATTGTCTTTTGTCTCTTTATGGTGGGGCGGGGTTCGACTCCCCGGCGAAGTTGGCGAGCCGGCCTCGTATGAGGGTGCTCCCCCTCCTTGGCGGTACTTGTTTTGTCCTTTCATCTATGCCTCTATGGTCGGTGGACATTGCACTGCGTCCATCGTACTGCCTTAAATACAAAAAAACATTATGTGAAGTCAAAGCTCGCCTCTTTCATGGGCAGGAATAGTCTAAAGGAATCTTCTTACTAGGATCTCAGAACAGTGCAGCTTATTCTGTCCAGATCTCGAGTTTCAGAGTGAACAGGATGAAGTCATCCGCCATTTTAGAAGTTTACATAATTTTTTTTGCGGCGGCATACTTGGCGTACTCTTGGCTAGTTGCATGGTGGCAACCGAGTTACGTTGATAATGTAGAAAGTCTTTGTTGGCAATTTAGTGAGCGCAGATTTTCTCGGTTTATTTAGTAACAGCTCATTTATAGGTGTACATTTATATTTAGGTTTACGACGGTGTACGTCTATAGCAGTATTAATAGAGTCTGACATGCACTTGTGTATGTACCGGTATTTGCTCAACGTTCTCTAACTTTACATACTGTGAAAGTTTACCTGTTGTAGTAAGAAAGTAACAAAGTCACTTCATAGAAGCAGACCTTCAGTTAACATTCTGTCTATGGCCTCAATAATTATCGTTAATTTTTGCCAATTGCTGAAGCTCATAAATATAAATCAATGTTGGCCAGATTTGTTTGAATTGACTTAATTTCCATTCATAAAAAAACACTATTAGTAATTGTTTGAGCATCTACCCTTATTAAGCACCGTGCCCAAAATAACAGCAAAAAGTATTGATACAAGTATATTGATACAGGTAATTACTAGCCTGGAATAGTGACTAACCCTTAAAGGAATACTGTATATTTTCACCGAAGATGCCACCTCACAGTCCTGTGCCGCCTTTACTGCCTGTGAGGTAACTCACTGAATAATTCAAAGCAGGACCCGTATCAACATGTTTGTTTACCTCCGATATCTTGACAATATTACGTGTATTTCTCATTTCTCACTGTATGTAGTTACTGTAAATTAAGATTGAGTGGGAAGTGTCATCATATCTGTGTCAAGTTAACAAATAGTTGCTGTGTTTTTGTTCAGTAATAGGTCGTTTTACAATTGTGTGCTCAGTTGCCTAGCCTATGAATGCAAACTGAGGGCGACCTTGTTTTGATGCAAAGCAATCTACTTTTCTCATTTAAATACAAAATAGTTTGCATCAGAACAATGATTTTCACAACAAAAGCGGTGAGGTTTGTATCAAAACAAGGTCACCTCCAACCTTGGTGTCATTCAAAAGCCAGGTAACCAAGCAGACAAATTTTATGTCGCGAAGCAGATTTTATTTCACAACAGCGTAGACTTTATTGGATATCTTCGTCAGGTTTACAGAGGTATTTTAAGTCTTCCAAGCGTCTTCAAGGTTTTACAAGTCTTTTTCCAGTGAAGTTGGCATAAGTTACAAGCGAAGTTGGTATAAGTTACCAGTGAAGGTGGTATAAGCTGCACTCATATTTTTGTCAGAGAAACCTAATTCACTAAAACTAACTAAATCAAATATATTTGCTATGCATAAAAGGTGAATTCAGCTGTTCGAGTTGCCCAAAATAAGAGATTTCACCATCATATCTTGGTATGTTTACTTTGCAAAAATTCCTATTTCAAGAGATTTCTATGCAAAGGAATGCTTAAAAAAGAAGGTAAACAGACAGAAAGCTAAATATGATCTTGGTGTAGGTCCTGATGAGAAGTGAATTAAATTTTAGATTGAAAGAGCATGGAAATTTCAGTTTAAACTCACGGATTGAGAACAAAGGACCTCGAAGGTGATAGAAATGTAGGGGTCAGCAAGATTTTAATAAGTTTGCACAAATGTGTGACCTTGATTCAACCCAATGTAAATTTTTATCTTTAAGGATATTACTTCTCAGGAGGCACGCCAGCTGAGATAACGTTTTCGGATGTAATTTTAGCTAATGTGTGTTTCCTAAATGAAGGTAACGTAAATGCCAACGGAAATAGAGTTCGTTGAAGTTTGGTTGTTTCTCCTAGCCTGATTCGCAGATTAAAGTAAACCTCAATAAACATGGAGGAAATACGAGTTTGTAGAATATGTCCAGCTAAATCGTTTCTCAGAGTTTAGCCATAAGATTGAAGTTAAGCGTAGGTCGTCCGAAGACATTAGAGAGCTTAAAGCACAGACGTTTTTGAGCCACGGACGTCAATCGGAAGTTTATGTTCTTGCTTTAAGCACGTTTTCATGCCGGACCAATGAGTTACAAAGCTCTCATTTTAGCGTTTACAACACGACATTTTCAACGAAAAGGGAGTAATACGCGTCGAAGAGGAGAACTTTCGACTTCCGGTTGACGTCCGTGGCTCAAAAACGTCTGTGCTTAAGCTCTCTACTCAAAATCGTTAACTAAACTTAAAATAATCCAAATTCCAGAACATTCATATGAACAGTTCTAACATGGTTCTGGTGCTGTAAAATCTTTTGTAAGCCAAAACAGACGGAAATACGTAAAGAAAAGCTGTTGAAACACAGTTAGCTACGATAAAACACAAAACTCTCATAGTCTAGATAAGAGTATCTGAGTAAACATTAACAATTATCTAAAAGTAAATAACCACAAGCGAATTTCTTTCAATAGCTATTACCATCTTTTCGATGTTTTCTTTTCGTTTAACCTTTGATTGTCAGTGCAATAAACATAGAACGGAGCTCTGAACTTTTCTTAAAAGAACATATTTCTGTTCATGGTGGTTTATTCACCTTTTGATAATTTTCACGAGAAGTCCCTAAAATGATCCCTTAACAATTGTTTACACACTACCAAGGTTTAGTAAATACCATTAATATATTTTATTCTCCAGAAATGAACCCACAATAATAGAAATAGGAAAATCCCTCTCCTAAAAGCAAACCGAAGTACTGAGAGAATGTCAGGGAATATTTCCCGTCATAATCAGTTCTATCGATAGCAGGGGAAATTCCTGAACGAATGAAATACCGAGTTAATCAATTATGAATAAATGTCGCTTGAGTAAAATTAATATCAATTGAAAACAATGCCAATTAAACAAATATCAAATAAATCCCAAACATATCCTAAAATTCGTGCCAACAATAAAATGGTCAAACATCAGACGGCATTACAAGATAAATACTTGTTATGCAATGCTTTCCAGTGGCATACCATGGAATTAAATCCCACGAGTAAAGCCTTGTATCTATACTGAGAAAATTCATATTTTAAAGAAAAGTCAGGAAAAATTGAAATAATTTAAGACGGTTGATTCAATACCATTAACGACTGGAAGAAACAATTGGGGTCAACGTGATCTGAACAATATTTATTGAAAATTATCACTCTTAATGAACGAGTGGAAGAGGAAGCCGCTACTAGATCTGACATTTTGTATTTCTTTGGTCATTGAAATTTTCTTTTTATCAGGAAAAAGTCAGAAAGGTTTGAAAAGTCATTAACAGCGCTTCCTCTCTCAGGTATTTTGGAAAGTTGAGCGCTTTTGGAATTTGAATCGCTTGGTCAGCGGGTTAAATTCTGTGTTAAATTTCCTTGTGAAAACAGAAGTCACATTTAACTAGAGAATGTTGGTCTGTAAACAAACACCTACAAAGAATGTTCAGCTAGTTAATCGGCCTGGCGAAAACAAAACCATTGAAAGGCACAAAGGTTGTAACATCTCTTTGGTGTACCTTCTGCAAGAGCGAATTAAACATTGCATAACATCTATGTAAACTTTTCAAAACATTTAAAAGAATAATAGCAAGACTTTATGGACATTTTGTGCAATCCGAAAGCCAAACATGTACTAAAATTTACAGACTTTTTATAGAGATCACAAAATCTCTGTACATGTACATGTAAGTGGGTGACCATTTAAAGAGATTGCAATTTACAAACGAAATGTAGACAGTTTACTAACTTTAGTGTAGTCTTTTACAAAACAATTTTAAACTTTCCAGTGAACGGGTCCATGGGCAAAGGACTCGACCCGCTAATTGCTCTTGGAAAGAAGTCTTCGTCTCTTCCGATAAATCTTTGTCTTCCATCTCCCTAAGAAAAAAGAAAAAGGTTTCTGGTTCTTATTTCGTTTTTTACGTGGCTTATTCATCATATCTGTGTCAAGTTAACAAATGATTGTTTCTGTTGACTAATAGGTCATTTTACAGTTGTGTGCTCAGTTACCTGGGCTATGAATGCAAGCTGAGGGTGACCTCTCTTTGATGCAAACCTATCTACTTTTCTCTTTTAAATGCAAACTAGTTTGCATCAGAACTTGGTTTTCAGAACAAAAGCAGAGAGGTCTGTATCAAAACAAAGTCACCTCCAGCCTTGCTGTCATTTAAAGGCCAGTTCACTAAACAGACAACTGTAAAATGGTATGTTGATCACAGATAGCGTAAGAACAAAAAAGTGGCACACAAGGCAGTAGCCGAGTGTGTCACTCATGTTCTTACCACATTTTGATGTCTTCTGTGATCAGTTACTGAACAGATGCATGGCACGATGGACTCTATCTGTTTTAAAATATTCAGTGAAACAACAAGACTGTTGATGATGTCATTGTATACATGTCCTCTAATTGATCATAAGTAAGAACCAACCACAATACAAGAATAATTTGACTTATTATGAAAAGGTGGATAGTTTCTCAATGGAACATCCAAACACAGTCAGTTCATTCAGCAATTACATGAACACCAATTGTAAATAAATTAAAATACATATAAATTCAGTCTTCTATACTGATTAAGAAGATAACCAGGCTTGGATTGTTGAACTGGTCAATTCTACACTGTCAAGCAGCTTGACAGTACCTGCACTTGTCATTCTGATTTACATGTAATTTGTATTGTGACAAACATTGGGTATTTATGCAGTTGTAATAACAGTCTATTCTTTTTTTCTTTCTTTCACAATACAATAGTAAACATCAGATGGCATTACAAGATAAATACTTGTTATGCAATGCTTTCCAGTGGTATACCATGGAATTAAATCCCACAAGTAAAGTCTTGTATCTATACTGAGAAAATACAAGTGACAAGTGGGATGTTTCACGGTGTACCACGAGAGAGCAAATTTGCATAACTATTTTATACCATGCTATAGAACTACAGTGGCCAACAGAATCAATGTTGAAGATACTCATGGTGCATAATGGGAAGGTTGGATGTAATACTCTCAAATATAAAATAGCTTCCCTGTATTCTGATTGGCTGTATTTGCTATGGCGTGGTATAAAATTCATATTTTGAAGAAAAGTCAGGGAAAATTGAAGTGACTTAAGACGGCTGATTCGATACCATTAACGATGGGAAGAAACATTTGGGGTCACTGTTATCTGGACAATGATTTTACCTTAACGAAGGAAAATTTCTTGAAAATTTTCACTCTTAATGAATGAGTGGAAGAAGAGGCCGCTGCTAGACGTGACATTTTGTATTTCCTTGGTCATTTAAATTTTCTTTTTATCAGGAAAAAGTCAGGGAGTTTTGAAAAAGGATATCTGTGGCAACCATGTCTTCCATATATCACTTTGAGCAGCCATTTTCAGACTATATATAATTTTGAGAAAACCATGAATGACCATTAACATGTCCTGAGTTTTGTGCTTAAATCACAAAAGAGACCAGGTTCTATTGTTTCAATCTATGGTTCTTTATGAGAGCCCATATTCGTTAGCAACTAGCTTTATTAAGGGTCACTTTTTCAAGGTCTAATGAAGTGGCTGCATAGGAAGCTTTAACCCTATTATTAATGACTGATATTGTCGANTTAACATGCACTAAAATTGACAGACGTTTTATAGGGATAAGAAAATCTCTGTAACTGTGTGAACATTTACAGAGACTGCATATTACAAACTGAGGAAATGTAGACATTCTACTAACCTGAGTGACCTCTATTGAGCCATTAATCCCTGCAATGCATGGGCCGCTAAAGAATGAATTTGACCTGCTCAATACTGGGAAATATGCGTGTTCGTCTCCTCGGTCAACACTTTGTCTTCCAGCTCCCTAAGTAAAAAAAAAAAAGGGTTTTGGTTCTTATTTAGTTTTTTGAGGGGTGATTTTCATCATATCTGTGTCAAGTTAACAAATAGTTGCTGCGTTTCTGTTGAGTAATAGGTCATTTTACAGTTGTGTGCTCAGTTGCTTGGGCTATAAATGCAAGCTGAGCATGACATTGCTTTGTTGCAAACCTATCTAGTACTTTTCTCATTTAAGTGCGATCTAGTTTGCATGAGAAGAACTAGATTTTCACAACAAACGCAGTGAGGTCTGCATTGAAACAGGGTAACCTCCAGCCTTGTTGTCCTTTAAAGGCCACGTCACTAAGCAGACAACTGCAAAATTCGGATAGCATCATAATGTGGTAACTGAAAAACAGTGGCACACAAGGGAATAGCTGAGTGCGTCACTGGTGTTCTTACATGTACCCATTTTGATGTCTTCGGTGATCGGTTACTGAACAGATGCACAGCAAGATGGAATCTATCTCTTTTATGAATTCATCGAAACAAACAAAAGATTGTTGATGATGTCATTCTATACATCTGTCCTCTAATTGATCATAAGAACCAATCAGAATGCAAGAATAATTTGACTTATTATGAAAAGGTGCATAGTTTCTCAAAGAAACATCCAAACACAGTCAGTTTATTCAGCAATTACATGAACACCAATTGTAAATGAATTAAAATAATATAAATCCAGTCTTCTATACTGATTAAGAATATAACCAGGCTTGGATTGTTGAACTGGTCAATTCTACTCTGTCAAGCAGCTTGACAGCACACGCACTTGTCAATGTGATTTACAGGTATTATTTTTGTTNATTTGCACAAAATTACTTTGTTATTTCTTAGCTAAATTAGCTTATTTTGTTTAGTTTTACTCTTTACTGGCATTAGGCTTATTTTAGTTTGTTTATTGTATTTGAGTGTTACTTGTTCCCGTGTTTTTGTTCCTTGTTCCAGTTGCTATTGTCTCCGCTATTTTGGTCAATAAACTCGTAAATCGTACACTCGTATCTGTCGTAACTACGTCGACCGTTTTGGCCGTCTTACAGATGGATTTTGATCCACTTTGGGTTTGAATCTGCTTTATCAAGGTCCCTTCCTTTCTCAGCTCTATTAAAACTCTGACTTTCAACGATTTTTATCCTTGATTATGATGTTAGATACATCGAAACGTCGAATTACGTTACTCCTTAATATATTCCTTTCATTGTTGTCATGATTTTGATACAGTACGATACAGTACAACAGGAAAGGGTGTGAAAGCCACAAGACATAATCTCAATAGTATCTCTGTAAAAAGCATATGGACTTGCTTAAAGTCTATGTAAAGTTTACATCACATTTACAAAGAAAATAGCAACATTTTATGGACATTTTGTGTAATCTGAAAGCCAAACCTGTACTAAAATTTACAGATGTGTTATAGAGATCACAAAATCTCTGTAACGGTGTGCATATTTACAGAGATTACAATTTACAAAGGAAATGTAGACATTTTACTTACTTTGTTAGGGGCTGTTAATGGTGCAATTTCTCCAGCGTCCTCTGAGTTGGAAAGACTTGGCAGTGTCTCTTCGTGTTTGTCTTCCATCTTTTTGGGGACATCTTTGTCTTCCGCCTCCCTAAGTAAAAAAGGTTTGTGGCTCTTATTTAGTTTTCGAGGATTTCTTTATCAAGACCTTTCCATTAGGCATATTTTACAGACTGTAAGCTGACGGTTTTTTCTATTCATGTGTAAGGCTAAATGTTCTTGGTTTTCTTATATGCACTGTTTTCAAGTCTTGTCTTTCTTGTTTATATTAATGACAAGGGAGCTATCACATTTTTATGTGAGTACGTGTAGACACCATAGTTGCAGTTGTTAAAAGGGTTGGTAATGCTATTCGTAAGGTAAATATCTCTACAGGGGATAGTGCGTTATCCGGCGGATAGAATCATCTAGCCTTTGAATAACCAGGATCTGGAAGAACATTGCATTAGGGGAAAAAGCTTTTGTGCATAATGTTCGTGTATAGGTACTCTTTGTTAAGGATTTGAGATTGGGAAAATCGCTAACTAATGCCAAGACAAGGTCAGCGCCATTTGAATTTCATTTCTTTTCTCGGATGTTAGTGTATTGAGTGATACACAAATCTACTTGAAATTATTTTTATTTTGCTGTCAAATGACTGAACCATGGATTATAGCCTAAGATGATCCACAATTCACAAATTCAAATAGTCCTAAGACTATGAAAAGAGCAAAATTAATCAATAACAAGATCTTATATGTTAGTTACTTTATCTTTTCGCCTGTGCTTTCTCTGTTCTTTTTTTCTCCACTTGACTGCCTTGCCTTTACTGCAATAACTGCAATAACCACTGCAACCACGGAAACGACTACATGCCAGAGATTGATTGTCAAGGTCATATTAAACAGGTCGCCACATGCCACCGTGAATTTAAGACTTTCCTCCATGTTTCTATTCAGAATAATAAAAGGAGTACACGTAAGTCTTGTAATATTGAATATGATACTAAAATGAAATGCTGGGTTAGGGTTCAAAATGACATGTACATTTGCCTGTTCAACAGGATAAAGGAGAACTGAAGCCAACAATCCAGGGAAGTACACAATGTTCCATACTTTTTTCCCCCGCAAGGGCATTTTCCACCCAAATCGAAGCTCTTCAGGAGAAATTTTTAGCCATGCACGGTGGCTCAAAACTCCTGCGTCAGAGGTTCTTATTGAAGCTTATGACGTACGTTATGGGGAAGAAGGTAAACATGGCTAAATATACAAAGGCCTTTGGACATGCAGGGGTGGAACTCTCACTTTGGAAAGGCAAAAGGTGATTATAAAATTAATAAAAGAAAACAAACAGGTTGCTTCTTTTGTTTAAGAGGCTGTCTCTGCAAGAACCGACCACTGATTTTACTTCGAAAATTCGATTTTTCTCATAAGCTG